GTGGCAGAGAAGTATGTTAGTTTGGTGCAGGACATGTATGAGAATAGTACAACAGTAGTGAGGTGCGCTGTTGGGAGGACAGAAGACTTCAAAGTGGAGGTGGGACTACATCAAGGATCGGCCCTGAGCCCCTTCTTGTTTGCTGTGGTGATGGACAGATTGACAGATGAGGTCAGACAGGAGTCCCCATGGACTATGATGTTTGCAGATGACATTGTGATCTGTAGTGAGAGTAGGCAGCAGCTAGAAGAGAACCTAGAGAGGTGGAGGTTTGCACTAGAAAGAAGAGGAATGAAGGTCAGTCGCAGCAAGACAGAGTACATGTGTGTAAACGAAAGGCAGAACAGTGAAATAGTGAGGCTACAAGGAGCAGAGGTGGTGAAGGTGCAGGAGTTTAGGTACTTAGGATCAACTGTTCAGAGCAGCGGAGACTGTGGAAGAGAGGTGAAGAATAGAGTACAGGCAGGATGGAACAGCTGGAGAAAAGTGTCAGGAGTGATCGGTGGCAGAAGAGTGTCAGCTAAGGTGAAGGGAAAGGTTTACAGGACGGTGGTGAGACCAGCCATGATGTATGGTTTAGAGACAGTAGCAATAGGCAGAAGACAGGAGGAGGAGCTGGAGGTGGCAGAGTTAAAGATGCTAAGATTCTCTTTAGGAGTGACAAGAATTAACCAAGTAAATACAAACAGAACAGCTCAACATGGTGTGCGCTCACAGAAAGTGTAATTCACTACACCACAAAAGTTTCACAACCCTGCAACCCCCAAAAGCCCTTAAAATATATATATACTTTTTATTAGGGGTCCACTGAGTGGTGTGTCCGTAATGAGGGGTGTTCAGGCACCATAGGAAATGTGAAGGTCAACACTACTCCCAGTGCTAGTCCGTACTTACCATGTACCACCGTGTGCTCATGTTCTGGTTTACCAAGAACATCAAGGTTCTGGATGTAACTACCCAAATAGAATCAGTGAAACTTTAAGTCTTTGTCTTTAAGCCAGCTTTTTGTTGTTTTTTGTTTTATTTCCCAGATGACGAGTAGCCAAAAAAGGACTCTTCAGTTTTCCTCCTGTCCCTGCTTAAATATTAATTCACTTGTTTACTGGAAGAAATATTGTAATTGAGTTAGTGTGACCTTTAAGTGTGGTTATCCAGGAGTGTCACAAATATGATGAATTACCCTCACATTTACAACAAGTATAGTGGTGCATGGTTAATAACAGCAACTCACAGATTATGTCTGAAAGGTGACGGACAAAAATGGAAAAGGCGGAATTCTAGGAACATGATTCCACTGACTTATACTAAAGGTACTAAAGAAAAATATGCTGGTGTTTTGTCTGATTTTCGGAGATCTGTCTGGACAGCCCTTTAAAAACACCAGGCCAATGGAAACAAGTTCTACTTTAGAGGTCCCGGCATCACTGAACCATTTAAAACAAAACAAGCTGAGATGGTAACCAACCAATCCGTCATCTTCACATGATGTTAAACACCCCTTTTATCAAGTGCATTAGCAGTAAACATGGGTGACTCATCATTTTCACTCAGAGCATTCCCAGCACACGCCAGAGCTTCTCCTCCCCTCACCGTAACCCTTTCACCCCAGAGGAGGGTTTGCATTTTACTTTAGTGCGCAATGCCAACAGCCCTCAAGCCACACAAATGCTTCTTATTTTCACTGCAGTCGCTCCATGACTTATTTAAGGTGCTTGTTGCCAGAACAGGACAGCTCTGGGTTTAGGAAAGAAAAGGCCCAGCAGCTGCCAAAAGCGATCGGTGGTTGAGAAACAATGGCACGCCCTGTGCGATTTGCACCGCTCCTCGAACCCCAGATGTCTTTGTCACTTTAATCCTTGCTTTATTTGTTAGATCATGGCTGCTTCCTCCAGTTGATGGAGTCAGCCTTGCCATGGGAGCACAGCAGCGTGCTGACCAATATGGTGCCGCCTTTTGCCCAAAGGATGGAGAAGAAAGGGGAGAAATGCTTTAAAT